ACTTAAACCTGAATAATGCCTCTGACAAAATCGAATATAATAAGGTATCATGCATGGAACATAAACTAGGTGCGGTCCAGAAGAGTTTAGTTCAGTAGTTGTCCAGCTATATTGATACACAAATGCGGGTATGCAGTGAATGTAAACAAAACGCTTTTTCTCCCCTATCTACATTCAAATTGTTGGTTTTCTGAACCTTTTTTTTATAGACGTTACCTTTGTTGATCCATTTTGAGTTCTTTTGTTTGTATAGTTAAACAATCACAAGTGACAGTTGGCAGCCTTTCACAAATTTTATTTAAATTAAAAATTAATAATCAATATGAAAAAAAAGCTTCATATCATTAGTATGTTTGGCCAGCGTTCATGATTTTGCAAATACAGTGTTTTTTTCTCTTAAAAGCAACATTAAAGCATTTTTTTAATTGTGCCTGAGTTTTGTTTGTTTGTTTTTGTCCTTTTTTTTAAATTCAATATTAATGTTTAAATCAAGCCTGCGCGTGCTGAGAGGCCGCGGGAGCTGCCAGACAGGTTGGAAATATTGCAAGGGACCTCTCATTAAATCTCCCTGATTTGATAACACGCAATAACCCTCCACCTTACATTCTGACCCCCCACTATTTCATTTTGCTGAGGGGTGCGGGGGGGATGGAGAGCCGTGGCGCAGGTACACACCGTGTAAAACTTAACCTCCAATATCTGCATGTTTTGAATGGAAAGGAGGAGGGGAGAGAGAGCAGAACAACGCGCAGAAGATGTAGAGCAGGTGAGGAGAAGAACTGGGGGGAAAATGGTTAACAGCATGGCTGCATGCAAATTTCCCCCCCGACTTGAATTATCATAAGCAAACAGTGTGAGCCTGGACTAATAAAAACCCATCTGTGTAACTTCATATCGAGGTAGTATGAGGGTTGCGAAAATGAATTTTGTAATATCCCACCGACAGACATCTCAATCAGGCTCTAATCCCGTGATTTTACCACGGAATCACTCCACTTCCAACTGCTGCACGCRCCGCACCAAACACACACAACGACGCACGGCGCCTTTTTACGCACAGGGCAAAAAGCAATGTTGGAGAAAACAAAGCGTGATCAGAAGGTTGAGATGTGGAAAGAAATGCYGCGGGTGATTTTCCAACACTGTTGTGAAGTGTTTTAAACAGGTGACGCACTCGGWAACAGATCTAGGTGATTAAGAACAGGAGAGACGCAGCGTCAGGTTTCTGTCTGAAATAAAATCAGAAAACACGGAACTGAGCGCAATTCTAGTCATCCTTTTTTAATGAATAAAAAAGTGTCAACTTTTCTTCAGATCACAGCCATATATTTCATCATGCATTAAAAGAAACGGATTTATTTTTTGACTAAAAAATAATAATACTGTTTGCAATCAGAACACACAATTAACCCCACTGTTTAAAATAGTTTGTCAGCTTTAACTTTTTTCCCCCTTTACCACAGAGTCAGAGACCTGAAGCTGTCAAAATGGATTCTCACTGCCGCAAACTGGCCAACACCTGCGCGCAAATAGGTGAGTGTCTTCACCCACGAACACTAAG